GCTCTGAATCACGTGACATACAGTATTCCTTTTCTCTGCAATGGGTGAAGCAAGTAGATTGGTGGCTGACGCCGATGGGAGTGGTGCCACAGAATCTGTTGACATTCCTTCCACTCGACTGCTCAGGACATATAAAGGTTTCGGAGTTGATGTGGAGGAACTGTCTTCCAATATCTGTTTATTCGTGGATACTTCCTCGGGTGAAAGACATCGAGACACATTGAGACTTACTGAATGCTCTCCAGCTTCCACCATTAGTCCACTGTCTGTACCGTCTGAAAAAGTCTGCTCTTTTTCCGTTGCTTGGGAAGTGATTTCCTGCAATTGTATCTCTCCAGTTTTCTTGGAGCAGACGAAGTACGTAGATCACAAGGTAACGGCGATGAAATTTTTGGCGCCCAATCTGGCAACTCTTTATTTTTTACTATCACTCGATGGCGTAAGCCTGATGACATTTTCGGGGTCAACGTGGGGGAACGTGGGAGAACTATTAGTCCAATGTCTACCTTATCTGAAGGAGTCGACTCAACCTCTACTCTATGAGAATTCAATTCTTGTACCTGTATCTCAACAGTTTTCACATCAACTGAAACAGGAGGAGGAGGTAGATTTGAATCTGATGACGATAAGAATGGTAACACAGAATTGATTGACCTTTCTTCCACTCGAATGCTTGGAACAGAAGAAGCTTCCAATATTCATTCGTTTGTAGGTATTCCTTCAGATGATAGACACGGAGACACATTAAAACCTTGTGGATGCTCTAGTAGTCCACTGCCTATGCCACTTCAAAAGGCCTCCTTATTCTGTGTTGTAATAGAGGCGATTTTTTGTAACTGTATCTCTCCCGTTTTCTCTTCAAATAGAACAGAAGTAATGCGCATATCGGAAGCAGACGGTGATGGAACTCCATATGGCTCGCATTTACTGACATTTCCAGTCCCTGTTGTTTCATTTGCTGTACTGAGAGATGTAGAAGCAATGAATTGGAGAAGAATCAAGAAGGAGAGCTATCCCTCCATCCTCAGGCATTTTTCCGCCGGCATCCAGTTCAGCTGACGATTCATGGGATTCAGGACGAATTTTCTCTTGGGGGATCCACTGCAGTTCTGCTGATCCCTTCTCAGCAGAAGAATCTGTCTTCTTGAACGAAGGGTTGTCTAGTTTCTCACTTAGAGAGACTATTTCGTGAGTGTCGAGTACAGGTAAGATGATTGCACTGTCAGAATATTGTGCTTGAGTGATCGTATGACTTGGGCCTTTTTGCTTGTCAGGAAGAAGTGATTTTTCTCTGAGATCCAGCAGCAAACAGAACTCTTTCAGTGTTGGTTCTCTTTTTTAACCTCTCCTGTGCTTTCTTTCCCTGGACTTGTCAAGGCTATTGGAACACACTTAACTTCATCGCCCTGATTGATGATCGTCTCGGTGTATTCAATCGAGTTTCCATTTCATGGAGACAATTCTCTCCTTATTTCTGTGTCTATTTCTTCCAGATGAGGGTCTGTTGCGGTAGCCTCCGATTTTTTTATATCATCAGGAGTGAAATGATCATTGTTGGTCTTGTTTAAATCTGCAACTGTTAACGATTTTGTACATGTAAAAGTAGTAAGTGGCCGAGATTGCCGATTTTTTTTCCAGGAATTCCCCCCTCCCCCTCCGCCCTTTTTTCCAGGAATTGCACGTGCTGATCCCCCTTCCCCCCTCGGCGGCATGCCTTTTGAAGAAGACGGCGGCGCGGTGCGGGGCCCTCTGGGGTGCATGGCCTCAAAGTTGGGGTCCGAGGGTCACAGGAAGTGGGTGGTGGGTGGAAAATGACCTGCGGATGGAAAATGGTTGACGGGTGGAAAAGGGGTGATGGTGATAAAAAATAACTATAATATGAATCATAATCTGTAGGGTTTGGAAGGTTTTAAGGCCATAACATTCAGCGTTCACAAAAAATTTCGGGTCTGGGCGTTCAAAGAGGCATGCGGTCTACGGTTCTAAAGATTAGAGGGTCAGATTACTCATGGGTCTAAATCCACGAAGCCCATAATAGTCCTCCCCTCAGCTATCTACTCTCTAAAAGTACTCATGAGTAGAGAATTGGCCCTGTCAGTCCAACATTCCACGAACTCTCAACTTTCTCTCCACTCCAGGAACAAATAGAGAGTCAACTCACTCTCTACTAGCAGTCTACAGGTTCCGTCAGGGAGTACAAATTTTGCATTCAATTTTTTCATGAAAATCATATTATAAATCGATTCAATTATATATGAAAAATAATTTTCCAATGATATTTCACTGAACTTTCAAGATGATATGAATAGCATATTTTTTAAAATTTCATTTACACAAGAATTTTCGAAATTATTCTTGTAGCATTTAAAAATTTGTTGACTTTTCAGCATTTGTTAGCCAACGAAGTAACAAATAGCTGATATCAGTAATGAAAGCGTAAAGAAGACAATCGACTGCGTAGAAAGAAGGGATGATGACAATAATGATAATGATAACATTGGATTAAGTTGATGATTTCTTCATGTTGATTTCCTCACATTTTGGTGAAAAGTGTCACGTTACCCCGAACAATTCACTCTGATCAGCCACAATCATAACTGAAGAAATTATCCTCCGAATGCCTCTCGACCTTCAAAATTCATCGAACATTTCCCTCAAGCTACCTTGCAAAAAAATGAGTGTGGAAAGTTTGGCAGAAAACTTTTTAGCCTGCAAAACTTGAAACCTTCGTTTGTTTGCAACGAAGCTTTCAGGAAATATCCAATAATTTTGAAGGTTTCGGGGTATTACAACTGCAAATTCGACACAATTGATCAAAGAAATCCCATACAATTTAATACAATAATATGAAACGATAAATTTTGTATGCGATAGAAGAAAGTGATGTGGAAAATGATCATTCAGGAGTATATTGCTCATTCATTAGCAACAATGCCTACACTATATGAAGACACAAGCGATTCGCCCCCTTGTTTCTTCAATTTTTTATGTTCAATGTTAGAGTGGAATAGACTGAGTAGTTACGCTTCAAAAGCTTTCAATACTGGAGAATAATAACATTCAATTCAGTTCCTGCACATGTATTTATCATTATAAAATTAATACATTACAAAATAATTTGGAATTTTGTCAGGTCGGAACAACCTTCATTGACTTCCAACTTGGTGTCTCGTGGTACAATAGTCTATTCGAAACAAGTGAAACGGGATTTGCACGAGTGTGAAGTTGGGGGCCCGTGGCAAAGCCGTAGTGGGCTGCCAATCGCACGACCTGGAAAATCTCGCCGTACATGTCGCGACCAGTATTCCTTGTTACTGATGTTAGGTTCACTGAGTGCCGAACTGTGTCTTTTTCCGTTTATAATTAAACGAAGAGACTTTACGTTTCCGAGGAAACTAAAAGACACATTTCCGCATGAGGTGAATCGAACAGCAGTCTCAATAATATGTAAATGAATAAGGATTTGAACAAGGTTTTCATCAGTTTTATTTCTCGTCGAATTTTACGAGTCAACGGTGTTGTTTTTTATATTATTTTATGCTTTAGAACATTCTTGTTTTTTTTTGTTTTTTTTTTTAATTAAGTGGCGAAGAATAATCAGGCACATATTTTTCAATCCTTCATTTGCCCCAGAAAACAAGTAATTTTCCTCTACGAGGATAGGAATGGGCGTAAAAGTTATGCAGGTACGAAAAAAAGCACCAAGTGCGGCTGCTATGATATTTTATGAAAAACATCAACAATTTCTCAGAAAAGAAATACGAGGGAATGACTATGAAAAAAAAAATTCAAGCAACAGAATTTTTATCGCAATAATGTCAACAAAATAAGTTGAAGATGTGGAAAATTACAATAGGATTAGCGACACCAATAGCCCAAAAGGAATCCATACAATACCGTTGCAAATGAAATTGTTTCTATTTGGATTTTTCCTAGGGTATAAAATTTTCATTTCAAAAACACTTATCAACAACTCATTCTCTTCAATACCGAACTAGATTACTTCTATTCTGCGTCTTTTGACCGCATTACGATAGTTCTCCTTGACGTTTTTCAGTCCTTGTGACATATTAGAATGAAACTCTTTTTCTGTTAGACGATTGAAGTTTTTTGATGAATTGAATGTACCTCGACAGGTTTCCAGATATCTCTTAGCCATTGTTTTTAACACAAATTTTTCTCCTTGGGTTCTACTAATGGTAACATCTCTTACAAAGCCATTTTCTGACTCCAGAGTTGCGCGGACGATCTCTGTTGCTGCAGATGGGGCGTCTTTTCCCACCAGCTGGGACAGCCATTGTACCAAGTGCTGGTAGTCCTCCTCGGAAGCAACTTCAAAATCTTCCAGACTTTGGCGTGAGCTGAATTTGAGAAATTCAGGTTTTTCTATGTGTCTCGCCTGACGGTTGGCAATACGTATCAAACCTCTTTCCATCCGTTGAAACCCTTCCTGCATCTCCGCCTGCATTCTCTCCAGAACTACCCCATGATTAGCTGGTTCGGGTCGGTGGTTTTCATCGTTTCGTAATGTCTGATCTCGAGGTGGTTGCCAATTCTACCATTCTGAATAAGCTTGAGGTATGATTGGGTTATTCCAGTGAGCCATTTGTTCACCAATATACTATTGGAATGAGTGGAATGTGTGACCAGAACAGTAGAGATAGTCTATCAGTAACAGGAGAACGAAAGAGACCACGTCTGTTCAGATGGATTTATTCGTAGTAACTAATACAGCTTGATGGTCTTGACTGGCGCTTGCCTGACACCTGTGTATGTGTGTGTTTGTACTGGTGTTTGTGTGCTGTGTGTGTCAGTGTGGGATCTATCGTCATTACATTCAACATATACCCATTTTGCGGTGGAGGCATCGCGTGGCCTATCACACCCGGGTAATTTCCATCTGCTCTATTGGGTTGACGATTGAGCTGTCCAGCATTCAACTGATGTAAGGGCTGCTGGTCATTGCCATTCTGCCCTGCGTTGTCTGGATAATATATCTACTAAGGATAGCCGGGATAGAGGGGAGGTGGAGTACATGGGTCAGGTACGTTGGAAGCATTTATGGGATTAGGTAGTTGGAATTGCGCTGGATATTGTGGCAGGGGATTTAGGTGCTGAGGTCTCCCGTCACCTAGAAGTCCTTCTACTCGTTGATGGCGTAAATTGGCATTTGCTGGAGGAATAATAGCTTCTGGTGGATTGTTCAAAGCACCCGGAAGTGGTTCGAGTATGGGCTCAGTTGGTTGATGAAGTTGATGTGTTGCAGTAGTTTGATTATGTTGCTGAGGTGTTGCAGTCGGTGGAGGTGGCGGAGCAGTTTGATTGTCTTGCCGAGATATTGTAGCCGGTGGAGGTGGTGGAGCAGTTTGATTGTCTTGCTGAGGTGTGGCAATCGGTGGAGATAGTGGAGCAGTTTCAGTCTCTTGCTGCGGTGTTGCAGTCGCTGAAGATTGGTGCTGCAGATCAGGTATTGATACATTCTCTGAGCTATTTGGATTTGATTGCCGCGGAATTTTGGCCTTTCAAGATTGCTCCCGTATTGTCTGAGTTGTCACAAAAGTTGAAGAAGTAGTCAGTGGCGTGGGAGTGCTTTTGTCGGTTTCTTCGGTGCGAGCTCCAACGGTTGTTTTCGTCTGCGGTGGTGACTGCATGAGTAGATGGGAATTACTACCTTCAGGAGTGTTTCGCGTCTCCAGTGTTATATAACCCGGCTGCATTGATTTTGGCGGTGATATTTGACTGCCTGGACCAAGCGCAGATTGAGGGGCTGTACTAAAGGGCTCATCGAATGCACCGAGAAGTGGTTCACTTCCATTTTCAATCTCTGAAGGTTCAATAAAACTTTCCTGTGGTGAATTCTGAGGTGCAGTTTTTTCACATAGTGGATACATTGGGCAATGTTCCAGTTACTACAACAGTTGGACTAACTAAAGTCTTATCGACGTCATTCGGTGGCTTCTCGGTAATGGCATCATGACTTTTTCTGACGTTCGAATATGTTCCACAGTCTCCAGAGGCATTTTGTATGAGAAACAAAAAAAAAATGAAAACATACAAAACTGCACAATCTCACTATGATTATGGAACTGGAAATTATGAAATTCATGAGTCTAAAGGGAAGTACTGTGAAGGTAAGAAAGGAGAACAGAGGATTCGAAGTTGGAAAGCGGAGGAAAAACGTTTTTTATGTGGATAAAATCCTCAGATCTGTGGAACAGATATAGCTAAATTGTTTACACGAGAAAATGCTTTGTTGGTCCTAAATAATATTCAGCACCCCCTCATAGTATTTGAAACCAACGATTTCCTCGCTAGCAATTTTACATTTCCCTCGCTCTATCATTTTTATTTTGAATCTGCAATCTTGAGCGATAATTGTCCAGTCGACATTTTTTTTGGTTGAAATCGTTTCTATTTCGAGTACAAAATACGTCTCTAAGGGTCTCAATCTCTACTGAGTGTTCTTTGATTAGTAGTTGCAACATGCTTCGGTAAAGGGGCAGAATTTGTACTTTCTACTCTATCTATTCCGAGAACCGTGGGGCACACTAAGTAAACCACTTCAGACAATAGATTATAAAATAATCGAATAAAATTTATATTCAGTTTATCGTTTTTGCCCTATGTTGAACAATCCTAATGAATGACTCGTTCACCTGAAGGGAGGAAGTTATTAAAATGACCCCGCTGATCAAAAGTAGAATTCTCATGCGATTTCGACGTTGCATGACTAGTCGAATCGTTGTAGAGTATTTTTAAATACATGTATGTGTGTGTGTGTGTGTAGGTTTATGTGGGGGGGTATGCGGCGTTGAATTCTTAGCTTGCCGACCCGAAGGGAGGAAGTTATTGTAATGATAACGAAAATCGAATGTGGAAATTTTATGTTTACTGAACGTTTTGTGACACTTGGAAACTCTCCTGACCTTTTATTTCGATAACGGTCTGTATGCGGGGCTGAGTGTATGTGCACATGTGACCAAAATTTTGTTCTAAGATTTCTCGAGAACAAACGATACGATTCGAGGATTTTTTTTTTGGTAGTCGATGCATTTTCATGGAAGTTAAACTGATAGATTGTGAATATAATCGCATGAGCGGTTTTCTTGTAATTCGCAGAAAAGATGTGAAATATCGGACAAAAAAAAAGAATTGGTCGGAAAGTTATTCTTCGTACCCGTCATAGATGACACCCGCTCCAATAACCCACCCCGATAATCAACGCGTGCACGATGGGAGCGAGTGTATTGAGCGACCAATTAAGGACCTAATTCTTTGTGTTCCAATTCCTGTCGATCCCTCTCTTGATTGAACAGTACGATTTGATTTTTGTTTTGAATCTATGCGTTATCGTGCAAGTTAGACCTGATTAAGGGGTCTCCGCAGTTGCGAAGGGCGCGCGGGTGAGTGGAGTGTGAAGTAGTCAAGTTAGTGAGGTTAGTTTCGAGAGATGGGACATCAAACATGGCGTATGTTGGATAATGACAGACATCGCCATAGTATTTTTATCCTTAATTTATTGAACAAATCAACGATAAAACCCAATGGGACTTCGTGCCCATATTGTTTGGGGCTCAATATAGAATAATTTAGCGTCCTTTGCTGGCTAGCACATTGTGACAACAGTGTGAGGGGTATGGGACAAAGTACCGTCCATAAAGATTCTGTATAAGGCGCAATTTGAATAATTAATTAAACACGAACGAAACCATAAAAGTAGTTAGAATTGCTTTTACAAATACCTTTTTAAAAGTTTTGATTACTATATAATATATTCAATTCGCAAGCACATTGTCAATTTTACCCAAAAGTACTGCGGAGAACCCTTAAATTGCGAACAACATCATCTTAGCGATTTTGTGGTTATTAGGATAAAATTATTGAGAAACCGTGTGTGTCGGCCACACCAAATTTTCAACTGGGAGGACGTTTCCCTGACCTTATTGTTTGACTCTAATTTTTTTACCGTCATATTTTGACGCTTATTTTTGACCATTTTTTTACCCTTATTTTTTACCCTTACATATCCTGACCCTTATTTCGTACCCTGATTTTTGCTTCCGAATGAAAGCTTTATAATCGTTCAAATTTGACTTTTGGTTTTTTTGTGTTATATCGACCCATTATGATACACTAAGTCCGAAAATGCGATTTTGAGAGTGTGTGCGTATGTATGTTTCTAGGTCCGTGTGTATGCGACGAAGTTTTTTATCATAGTGTTCGTCATTCGCCCGAAAAAAAAATGTCTAGCTCATATTCGCCAGAAAAGTTTGTTTCGGACTAGTGACGAAAAGTGCTATTTTTCAATCATTCGCTAATTGTCTATCAATGGATCGATGGAATTGGATCATTTTTTTTAGAATATAGATATTGTTTAGCCCTATCCATCGACATAAGCCAAAATTGAAGTCACATTTTAATTTCTTTAATTTTTAAATTTAAAAAAAATTCGCATTTTCGACGATAACTAAAAAAAAAGTTTTCAATCCATTGAATGATTGCTTGAAAAAATTGGAATGTCCCTCTGACCGAGTTCGAAGATGGAGGCGTTATCAGTAACTCTTGTTTTGATTTTGTGATAAATTTTGCGAATTTTCCAAAAATTTCCCTGAAAGCAAATTTTTTCAATGATTTCTTCCAATATAATGTTTCTGTTTCATTCAATTATGTACGAAAACAAAATTTTCAATAATATGTCATCAAAGTATCAAGATAATATAGAGAGCATTATTCTGTTATTGGATTTATACAAGAATTTTAGGAATTATTCTTATATCTTTCAAAAAAAATTTTCATCTTCCACTATTTGTGCCATTCCACGACGTAAAAAAGGGTTGAGGGCTGTGATGGAACCATCAAAAGGACAATCGGCAAAATAGAAAAAGGGGATGATCAGAAAAATGATAATGATAACATTGATTAAGATGAAAATCTAATACAATTGATATAGGAGCAAAATAATTTAATTTGATGAAGTAACATGAAATAATGAATTTCATATGCGATAGAAGAAAATGATGTGCACTATTCGGAAACCTATCGCTAATTTATTAGCAAAAATAACTATAACATATGAAGACAAAAACAATTCTCCACTTGTTTTAACATTCACTCGTAGTGAATCACTCCTCTCGTTAAGGTTCAAATGGAAGGTCCAAGACCTGTCCATCAGCAAAGGGTCAAAAAAAAACAAAAACTATTATTGCGCCATATTTTGCCTCTCCGAGTCTTTAACGCGGAAAAAAATATCCTCGAGTCGGTTATATAATATTCCGGAATCAGGACTACGTGTATTCCGGAATCAGGCATATCATATCCGGTATATCGGGGAGCAAGGCATCATGAGGGTCAGACGGGTGAGGAAAGGACAGTCATCATGAGGCTGAAACGGAGAAAACGAATAAATTGATTACGAAGGCCAAGCGGGAAGGAGAAGTGTAGTAATCACAATGGTAAAATAAGAGGGACGAGTGGAGAGATTCACAGAGAAGAAAAAATTCTGAATTCAAGAATTTTTGTTCTAAATTTTAGAAACTCCTAGTTTTAACTTGCATCCAGATAAAATTAAGAAGAAAAAATTAATAAAATTCGGAAAAAAACCATGAAATTAATGGATAAATAAATGCTTGCGGATGGGTCTAAATTTTTATGGGGGTTGGGGCGATCCTCGACAACATTTCCTCGATTAAAAAATCAAGAAGGTTTGAACCTCTGGAGGGTATATATATTTCTTTTTTTTTTAGAAAAAAACCCGAAACTTGCACTTATTATACCCAAGCACCTTTGCCTTCCTTCGAATGGGACGAAATTTAATCTCTCCCTGAGATATATTTTATAATTGTTTTTTACCTCGAAACAAGCTTTTCTTCGGTGATTAAGTTCAGCGAATTATTTTGCCAATTTTAGAATTTTTTGTTCCCAATTTTATCCGGATGCAAGTTAGAATTTGCTATTTCTAGAATTCAGAACAAAAAGTCTTGAACAAAGTCCTGAATTTCGAATTTTTTCTTTGCTGTGAATCTCTCCACTCATCCCTTTTGTTTGACCCTTGTTATCACTCCACTCCTCTGTCCCGGTTCACTGTTAGAAATTTTTTGAAATTTCATGGATTTTTTCCCTCATCACCTTTCCGAACAATAGAATTGCGGTATTCGACATCCCGTGGTCCAATCAAAAGAGAATTATATGGATTATTCCTCAAAATCTCGACCAGTAGGAGCATGGGATTTGACATCACGTGGTGGGTATTATACCGATAATTTTCGGAAATACCACGGCTGTTGCTAAGTCATAAATCAACGTTTTTTCACAGAATTTTAACCTGAAACAATTGAAAAAACATCAAAAAGCAGTGACATTTGCGAAAATGAGTGAGAGAAAAGGCGATCGTCAAATGTCAAATCCCAACTCCCATTGATCGAAATTTGAATTTGGGAAATAATCAGTAGTAATACCACGAGACCTCCAAAATTATCGGATATTTTCTGATTGTTTTGTTGCGTAGCAACGAAAGGGAGAAGTATTGCAGATTAAAATTTTTTGCAACACTTATCCCGATCGTTGATACGCAGGAAAACATGAGGGAAATGTTCGATTAATTTTATAGGTCGAGTGGTATTCGACGCATTATTTTTGGTAATCGGATCCTTCCCAAACCGAGTCATTTTGACTTTCTTCATGACTTCCTTTCACTCCACAGGATAATATTTGACAGTTATTTGGTTAGAGAAACAATTGCAAAGCTAGAGGGAAATTATCACAAGCTAGGGGAAAATAACCGCTGTAATTTTAATTGGGAAGTACTTCATGTTATTGAATACTGAACTCTGATTGGCCTAGGGAAAGCCAGATCCGATAACCAAAAATAATCCACCGAATACCCCTCGTGCTT